TGCGCAGTTCCTCCGCTGGCTCTCCTGGCCTTTGCCGTGTGGGCTGCCAATATTGTTCCCGTAGCCGGGCCTTGGTACCCCCAGGAGTCCTTCTCCGTGTCAGCCCCAAAACCTCGAACCCTCTGCCACTTATTTGTTGATGTAGGACCGTTGTTGAAAGATTTATTCGTCCTTTGTTGCTCTTAAAAATGCAGTCAATACTCTGGTATCACAGCACACAGCTCTCAGGATCGCGCTGTTTCCTGACACGGGTGCTCCAGACCCGTCGCCATTTTCAATCTCCCCAAGATTACATCTTAATCACCTAAGACTAGGAAATGTTTTCAATCCCTATTGTGGTTTATCACTAATGAGAGGCAAAATTCTGCTTCTAAAAACAAAACTTAAGGGAATCAATCGTTCTGGTACCCTCACAGTATGTTTTAATTATAAATTAAAGTGAATGAAGATTAAAAAAAGATTACATCTTAATCACCTAAGACTAGGAAATGTTTTCAATCCCTATTGTGGTTTATCACTAATGAGAGGCAAAATCCTGCTTCTAGAAACAAAACTTAAGGGAATCGTTCTGGTACCCTCACAGTATGTTTTAATTATAAATTAAAGTGAATGAAGATTAAAAAGATTATCAGTGAAGATAATATGTACATAAAATTTCTGTGGTCATTTGATCCTATCAAATGTTGCAACTACCATATATTAATATTAATCTGTATTTAGGTTATTCAAGACACATAACTCATTAGAACTCTCCCCTCCCAACCCCATTTTTTGAATGCAGATTAACCTCACATTCCTTCTAAATGATTTTAGCTTAAGGTACACATTATTATTACTATTTCATAACTACATACAGCTATAAAGAAAGGTACAATGAAATATTATTAATGTAGACCAAAAACATGGAAATAAATAGAACACTTACTGGTTCTGTTAGTGTTGTATCTTTCTCCAGGAACTGTACAACACAGTATGCTAGCTAAAAGGTAAGGAACAGTTTATAAATATTACTGAGTAAAGTAACATTTAGTGATGCAGGATTTTTTTTATATTTAGCAAACAAAAATGACTACATCACTTTGACAAATTTTACTCTAGTTTATTTCAATATAAAAAATGAGTATATTCACAATTGTGTAACTTCTAGTTCAAAAAAGATTATTCTTGTTTTTAGTAGTAATTTCTGACTATAAAGTTAACTGAAATAAGGCTAGAAGCTGACAATTTAGTTTTTCGGCATGTTTCTACATGTATACCTATGCTGATATATTATTATTTTCAAAATATTAATAGAGGAGACCAAAATCTTTCTAACTAGGTTATTGTGGCCAGAAGGAACATTCTGCAGATATGTGGCATTTAATCAAAGTCACATGGTTAATTAGGTCAGGGCCTGGACTAGAATAAAAGGGAACTTAATGTTATCTTTTCTATATCTACATTTAAAGTGCATTGGTCTTATTTAATAGCTAAATATCATAATACTTAAAAATTTTAATACTATAAAAATTTGCTTTGGGTAACTCTGTAAGAAAATTGCTTAATTATACCTAAAATTGTCATCTCAATATTTCTCAATTTCCCTGCCTTTATATTTACTTTTGAAACAATATTCACTTCATTTGAAATTTTTCTGCAACTTACCTGAGCATGAAACAAAGCTAATCCTTTTGCAGTATGCATAGGAATAAGAACCTTCATTAGAAATTGTTTATGTTCTGCTTTCAGTGGCAGTGCAAAGCCATTGATAATACTGGAGGGAAAAAAAGGCAGGGGGAAGGATTAAGTAGTTACTACTACATTTCTAAAAGTTATAATATCCATGAGTACATAAATAACAGTGCTCTGCTTCAATACTGGTGTTGTATGACTATTCATCTTCAAACTACTTTACAAAGACTGTTACTATGGAGTCTGTTCCTCTAAGTCATTCGATGATCCCAAACAAAAATTAGGACTGCCAATTAATGCCCCAGTAATTAGTTCCTATTTTCATATTCTATAAAGCCTGTCACTTTATTTTTCCTCCCTAAAGCCACAGGAAAGTCAATAACATAATATTGTTAAAATTTTAAATATTTTCTGAAGTAAATGGGGTAGTTTCTCTGTTGGATAATCTGAAATTACAAAGTAGTTTTCTCCACAATCATTTTCTAAATATTAATAAAGGATACTAAAATCATTATCAATAGTAATAGAGGGGTCGAAAATTCTCTCATTAATAATACTGCTATGTAGTGAATGAGGGCAAAATGTTCATGTAAACTAAAACCAAAGATTATAGATTCTTCTAAAAAGAACAGATGAATTAGAAATGGTCTATCAACATCTGAACAAGAATTCTTGTAACTTCAAAGATTCACTATAGCTTTCATCTTGTCCCTATAGATCCTATAAATTTCTGTGCACTTTGGCAAGATCAGGCATAAAACATGTCACAGCTTCAAAAGCCGGAAGCTTGTTCTGAAACCGATGTCTTGGATGGCAGTACTTTAATATGCTGACCCCTTAAAAGCCTATAATAAGAATTCATCTGAGAAATTGTCTTGTTCTCTATATTTAAACTGTAAAATATGAAGTAATTTCTCTAACCCCAACTAAGATTTTAATACATAAAATATTCAAAGTTACTTAATTCTTATAAAGAACTAAAAAACCTGACCTACCTTCCTAATATTTCAAGGAGTTCAGCAACACCATTGAAATGTTCTGTTTCATATATAAACCTGAATTTAAAATAAAAGTAGATGTAATGAAAATCAAGCATCAGAAAACTCAACTAAGAGAAACAGGCAAGAAGGTGAAGAAATCAATGGAAAGAACAGCTATAAGAAATACAAATATGCTTTAGGGTTTTTTTATAAGCTATTTTGTTCTGAGTCAGTTAATTCATAGCAATCTTACAAAAGGAGGTCTATTTCCTGTTAAATCACATATTCCTTTGCTAAAACTTGCCACATGTGAAGATACCAGAATATCATTTCACCTAGACTATTCTATTTTACTTCATAATTTATAAGAAAGATGGGTTTTCTGAAAAAAATGTTTTTCAAAATAGGAATCCTCTACTCAGGAAAATCCCAGAGAAAAGGACCCATATGTAATAAGGCCACTTTTAGTCAGAATTTCTCTAAATCTCAAACTACATAGGCTGCCTAGCTTCCAAGATTAAAATCACCTTTCAAGTTAGGGGTCATAAATTCAGCTGCAGGACAGGGCAGGGATCATAAATGGCTAAAGTGGACTTGGGAGATGATGACTGAGAACTGGAGAAAGCTGCTCTCTCTAGAGAAGGCAGTTACTACTCATCTCTAATTGCTGCAATGTGGGAATGCTAGCCTAATTTTGCCAGATCTTCAGTTAATTAAAACAAACCAAACAAACCCGAAATACCTGAAATGTGAGTGTTAATGTGAAATCTCCTAATTTGAAGCAACTATTTAGCAGATTAACATTTATAAAGTACAGTTGGCCCTCCATATCCACAGACAATTCATCCACAGATTCAACCAATCGTGGATCAAAAATACTTGATTAAAAAACCAAAAAATACAATACAACAACCATTTACATAACAGTTACATTGAATTAAGTATTATAAGTAATCCAGAGGTGACAAAGTATATGGTTATATGCAAATACTACATACACCATTTTATACAAGGGACTTGAACATCTGTGGATTTTAGTATCCATGGGTGGCCTGGAACCAATCCCCTGTAGAAACTGAGGGGCAATTGTAGTCAAATAAGCCCCATATAAATTTAATTAGCTTTGTCAGAAAATAAAATGAAAGTACTTCCAAGAGCTATTGGTTTAAATATTCACACACACAAGTTTTAAACAAAAAGCTCAAAAAAATAGATAACTCTCCTTTTCTTAAATTTAAATTTAAATTTCTTAAACATGAATAACAGTGGTATTACCTATCAAAAACTGTCCTCATTACTACCATCTACTTAGATAAGAAGGTTATAAGTTTCTAAAAAGTTAGACACAATCAAATGGTATTCATAAAACAGGCTAAAAATGATTAAATACTAACAGTTAAATTTGCAGATTTCAGATACTAAAAATTAACCTAAAGGAACTTGAATAAGAAGAAGACATCTAGGGAGAAAAAAAAGGAAAAGTGCTATATACAAATATATGGCTAATTTACCTGAGGAAAATGTTGTTAATTTGTTTTCTGATGAATGCTCTTAATCCAAGAAACTTTCCATAAATTCGATGCAGAACAGTCTTCAGGAAGTCACGTTCTCTGGGATCTTCACTATCAAAAAGCTCCAGGAGCTTTAAAAAAAGTCTGAGAAATTACTTTTAAAAAATAATTGAGCTAGAACTTCACTTTATTCTAATTTTGATTTTAAGATTATCCATAAATTCTTTAAAAAATTTAGCGATTCTGCCTTACCAGATTGATTCTATTTTTGCTTACATAATGGAGCTAAAGAAAAGTTTAAGGAATATTTCATTTATTTCATTTCAAAAAATTACACAGTAAGTAATATAAATACTTCAAAAACTGTATTTTTTTTTTTGCTTTGCCACTGATTTGAAAATTGTATCTTACTTCTTTTCTTTTTTTGTGGCAGCTGGCCAGTATGGGAATGTGATTCCTTGACCTTGATGTTATAACACTGCACTCTAACCAAATGAGCTAACTGGCCAGCCCTGTTCTATTCTTGACTACTAAACATAGCTCACAATTTTAAAGTGATAAAATTTGAGAAATTTTTTAATGCTTTTTGATAGTAAGTCAAAACTATATATAAAATCTTAAGCTTTTAGACTGCAAGTCATAAATGAAATTTTAAAAATATGTATAACACATTTCTAGTTTATTAGAAAGATTTACACCAACTAAGCCTTCTTTTGTGATTTTAAAATAAAAAAATTTAAGATAGCCACCATGCTAACAGCTCAAAAATTAATATTGTTATTAGGATAAAATACTGGCAGATACATAATAATAGAAAAGAAATCATACATGAAATAACACTGAAATAAAAGATGAGGGATTTTTACTTAAAGTCGGCTTAGCAAATGGCCGAAAAATTTTAAACTAGTTCAAACTGGTCCACTCAGCACTCTCCTACACTTCTACACAACTCTTCAGCAGAGCCTTGGATAAAAGACCTTAGACAAATTTAAAGTCAAAAGCTCAAATTTCCTTTTTAAAACAGTAAAAAAAAAACCCTTCCATTTCTTCTGTCAGGTCTGGCCAATTAGCTCAGTTGGGTAGAGTGCATCCTTATGGGAGACCTTAGACAAATTTAAAGTCAAAAGCTCAAATTTCCTTTTAAAACAGTAAAAAAAAAAAAAAAAACCTTCCATTTCTTCTGTCAGGTCTGGCCAATTAGCTCAGTTGGGTAGAGTGCATCCTTATGGGAGCCCTTAGTTGTTAAAGTCATCATGTCTAATTCAAGAACAAATATAATTTAACACAAGTTGATCTTCAGGGGGAAAATATTAAACTAGAGAACAGTTGTTAGCTACGTTTCAAATCTTTTTTATTTCATTTTCTGTTTGTTTTTTTGTTTTTGATAGCTGGCCAGTACAGGGATCAAACCCTGCACTTTGGGTTATCAGCACCATGCTCTAACCAACTGAGCTAACTGGCCGGCCCTCAAATCTATTTAAAGAAAACTATTTTCAAATATTATTATCTAAATAAATTATAACCTAAATAATCTATTTAGAAATACAATATTCTCATAATGAAACATACAAAACTAGCAATCAGGAAACTCTGTTTCTTATTCTGGCTTTGATACTAATATCTAACTGCTTTTAAGGTAATTCATTACCTCTGAGCCTATGTTTCTTCACTGATAAAATGAGAAAGGTTGAAAACAATTATTCTTTGTTTTAAGGAAAGGTACTATCATAATCAGAGTCTAGTTCAAATCCTGATTGTGCCACCTACTAACTGTGTGAAATTTGACATGGTCTAACTTTTTATATAAAAGCACATAAGAGCAAAAGCATGCTGGGCCCATAAAAAAAAAAAACACTTAAAGACAGTGCCCGGCACTTACAAAGCACTCGATAAACCTTCGTTTCCTTCTTTCTTCTGAAATTCTCTGATCTGAACGTAAATTGGAATTATGCAACTGTTTTTTTCTCTTAAAATAATGAACATCCAAATTTAATAAATTTTTCTCCTGTACTTCTAAAGTCTTAAAACTTACCACCTACCAAATCATTTCAAAGTACAAAAGCTGATAATTCTGATACATATGAGTACTATTTGTTAAAGCAACACCATAAGAATACCTCAGAGAAGTGATCTGTGAAAACGCAGTCACAGACTGCTAAAAAATTATTGGTCCTTTAGCTTCTCAGATAACTCAGGCATTTGAAGTAGAAGGTACAAAATGGTTCCCACCCTACCAGTTTTCTTCTCGCTCCCCTCAAACCACAGAATAATCCAGCAGCCTAAACACCTCAAGCTTCAGGCTGAGGAAGCACCAAGGCAACTGTTCCCCTCAACCTGATATTATCTTATAGGCAATTTAATGAGTTCCTTAACATGAGGGAAAACTTTATGGAAAAATAGAATTTAAAGATAGTATCATAGCCAGAAAAGAGGATCTTGAATATTATAACTACAAAGAAATGATAAATGGTTAGGTGATGGATATGCTAACTATTCTGATTAGATCATTATACAATATATGCATGTATTGAAACAAGCTGTACCCCATAAACATGTACAATGGAAAAAATAAAGTTAAAAGAAAGACACCAAAATAAATAAATAAATAAATAAATCACATACAATCTCCCAGGCCTTAATTACTCACCTCAT